CCCCCCCCCCCCCCCCCCCCAGCCTCTGCTGAGCGTCAGGGATTCCGCTGAGGTCCCCACGCCTCCCAAGTGGCACACGGGCCCGTTGTGGCACGTGCCTGCCCATGGCCTGTGTACAAGAGCCAACTCACAAGGGGAGATTTGGGGAGAAGAGGGTTGGACACACCTTCTGGTAGCCTTCAATCACTTCCTTCTGCTTCTCAAAGCGCTTGAAGAGGTCGGAGAAGGACTTCTCCATGGAGCGCAGGTCTGCTGTGAGCTGGTCTCGCTCCCTCAGAACCTTCTGGATCTCAGTACTGGCGAGCTCCTTTTGTTTCTGGGCATCCTCTGGAGAAGAGCAAGAACTCAGGTCAGGGGTCACCCTGTGAAGTGTGGGACAACACAGGGCAAGCAGGTGTGGGCCTCAGCAGGTGACCTGTGAGTGACGCAGGCCCAGAACATGGCAGCCCCACAGCGAGGTCCAGGACACACTCCATACCACCCCAGGAAGAAACGGCCTGAGATACAGGCTGTAGGTAGGACAGCACAGGTGGGAACCACGGCCCTGGCGGCCAGCTCTGGGCACAATGGTGCCAGGCACATTAGTACTACCACTTAGCAGTGACTCAGACTTGGTGGCTGGGGACACAGTAGAGGGGATGGGGCCAGCACTCACCCATTGCCCGGTACACAACACCTTCAAAGCCGTCCATGATCTTCCTGTGGAGGGGACAGGAGAGGGGAAGGTAAGCATTAGATGCCCAGAGCCCTGATGAGCAAGGGGGTTCATAGCAGGCAGCATGGTACATGGCCCTCACCCCATCTCCAGGTTCTTTCCTCGCAGCTCCTCACACTGGCGCCTCAGCTCCTCATTTTCCTCCCGGGCTGCGTTCACCTGCAGGGCCCTGCCGTTTGTTAGCCCTGGGCTGCTCTCACCCAAGGCTTTGGGGCCATCACCGAGTGTCAGGGGCCCCGGTCAGGGAGCAGGCTGCAGGGCCCACAGCAGGGTGGTACTAGGCACTGGGTCAGCTGCGGTCACTGCTTGGTTGGGACAGATGGGGACTGAGGGGGACACCCAGCCAGCTGTCCACAGCACCCTGGATGGATTTAGTCCAGGTGAAAAGCACAGCTGAGGTACGTAGCCCCCAGCGGCTTAAAGAGCCCGGTGGAGAGGACACAGGGCTCTAGCCATTCCTATAACCAGCCTCCCCTGCAGAGACTGTCAGGCAAGAAGCAACTCAGCAGGGCCAACATACCAAGGCACTGTTCACAATGACCCAAGTCTGAGCCTCTATGTGGCCAAAGGACAACCAAGGCCAACGGGACCAAGGAGCAGGGGCTAAGTCCAGGGGAGGTGCAGGCGGAACTTATAGGCTATCTGGCCACCCTCTCTCCCAGGCACAGTCCCCTTTCTGAGGCTGGGTGATGGCTTTGTTTAGGGAGAGGATGTGGGGATCTTCAGCCCCCAGAGGCAGGGCCAGATGGAGGAGGGAGGGAAGAGAGAAGGAGTGCCTGCGGCTCTGTTCCCAGTGGCAAGGGCAGAGCCAGCTGTCAGGGCTGCTGGGAGCCACGTGGGTGCCAGACCCTGTGCTCAGAGTCCTGAGCCTGGCTCCAGGCACTTATGCCTAGAACGCTGGGGTCCTTACCGCCTTGTCTAGGTCGCTCTGACTGTACTGTAGCATGTCCACGATGGGGGCAGGCTCAGGGGGTGGGGGCAGGACACCAAGCTCCAGGACACTTGAGGGCGGGTCCGACACCTGGGGGTACAGACACTCAACTACCCACTGCCCAAGTGCATCAGGTAAGAGCAGCCTGCCTGGCCAGCGGGATCTGGAGGTCAGGGCTGCATGCAGATCGGGGAGGGGCTGGGTCGCAAGAGCCTGTTAGCAGTGAGGCAGCCAGTGGCTGGGCCCCTTGCCTGCCTCACAGCCTGCAGACCTCCATGACTGCAAGGTACCTTGAAACTACTTGCACCTCTTTAGACTACAAGATGACCACTACAAAGAGGGAAGTACTCACAGGGACATCCAGTGCACCCAAGAAGTCCAGTTCCACAAGCTTGGCTTCCAGTGGGTGCCCTGGGGAAGGGTCGCCTGCATCCTGCACACTGGGACGAGACAACAGCCAGTCAGGCCACACCCTCGTGGTATTAAGTAGGGCACAAGGAGTGGGACACTCAGGGCCCCACGCATACCAGGCAAATACTCTATCACTGAGCTACCTCTTTGCTCTCCCCTACTCTCTTCTTCCCTTTTTCACTTTATGAGACAGTCTTGCTATGTTGCTCAGACTGGCCAGGAACTCCCAGTGATCTTCCTGCCTCAGCCTCCTAAGTGCCGGGGTTACAGGTGTGTATCACCTTTCCACCCACAGCCTACATCTTGTTTTATTTTTATTTTTTTGTTTTTGGTGGAACTGGGGATTGAACTCAAGCCCTTGCGCTTGCCAGGCAAGCGCTTATTCTACTGAGCTAGCTCCCCAGCCCCCTGCCCCCATCTTGTTTTAGATGGGGTGGCATCTCACTGTTGCCCAGGGTGACCCTGCATTCACAAAGCCTCTTGCTTCAGCCTTGCAAGTAGCTGTGACCGTGGATGCCACCACCGCACCCAGCCCTAATGAAGCTTCCACGTAGCTGTGACCGTGGACGCCACCACCGCACCCAGCCCTAACGAAGCTTTTTTCCTTCCTATTTCTTTTCACTGACAGGGTCTCACTACGTAGTTCAGGGCAATCTTGCACTACGTGGTCCAGGCTGGCCTTGAATTCATGATCCTCCTGCCCCCGTCTCCCGGGTGCGGGGACTAAGGCCTGTACCACAGGGCCTGGTACACCAAGTGCTCTCTCCCAGAGTAAAGCTCAGCCTGGGGTTTTCCATAAATGTCAAGTGCTAAATGTGTTTGGATTTGAAGGCCACAGATCTCGCTGCTCTGTTCTGCCTGGACTGTGGTTGGCCAGGTGTTTGTGAAAAAGCTGTGTGACTGTGGACCAACCAATTTTATCAACAAACAGGGCAGGGCTGAAGACATAGCTTAGTGGCATAAGTCCCTGTGTGGCAAGCACAAGGTCCTGAGTTCAATTACCCATACCAAATAAATAAAATTGTTATTTAAAAAAAAAAAACAAAACAGGACAGAATGTGGCCTGCTGGCCACAGCACCTGGCAGGGTGGGATCACAGTGCTTCAGAGATGCAGTGTGGAGAGAGTTCCACTCCGGGTGGGCAGCATGCGTGACAAGCAAGGCAGGCCTCCCATGGCTACCCGCAGCTGGCTCCAGGCTGTCTTCCACTCACCTGTCACTGTGACCCAGCGCTAGCAGACTGATAACTCAAGTACCTAATGGCAGGCACCTGCCTTTTGCGCCCACACACCTGTCTGTCACTGGGACCAGGCGCACGGGCCGTTCAGGGCTGTCCTTCAAGAGAGGGTCGAATTTCAGGTACAAGGACTGCTTCCTCCAGGCCGATTCCTTAAACTGGAAGGACAGGGCAGGTCAGCAACTGCACTGCTTTCCCTGTGGGTGGCTGTTCCAGGGCTTGGGGGCTCCACCCACTAAGCCAAGGAGCTGGCGGCCGCAGGTCTGCTGGGGCACATCTGCCTAGCAGTGCGGCATGTCTCTGCTCGTCTTGGGCACAGAGCTGGGAGTCAAGCAGCTGCAGAGCAGTGAGTGGGCTGCATGTGTGGGGAGGGATGTGCGGATGGAGCACCAGGCTCCTTCCCAGGGAGAGTGCCATAGGTGGCTCATGAGACACATTTGCAAGTGGTGGGGACCTACCGAGGATGTCCCGAACTGCTCTAGATAATCCACCTCCACTCCAGTACCTAGAACTGAGAGGGGTTGAAACACATTACCATCAGCTCTCTGGGGCCTGGACCGACAGCCCCACTCCAGCAGTTCCCAAAGTGCCTGGCAGGGTGGGATTATAGTGCTTCAGAGATGCAGTGTGGAGAGTGCTCCCAACTCTGGGGGAGCCACGCTGCAGCTAGTGCCGTGCCCCTGGGGAGCAACCCCTCCTCTCCACCCCTACTCTCTCAGTAGAGGGAAGTTTTAAAATGTTTCCTGAGTTGGGTGCAATGATGCACACCTGTAATTTCAGCTATATGGGGAGGCTGAGGTAGGAAGATTATAAGTCTGAGTTCAGTCTGGGCAACTCATTGAGACTCTACCTTAAGATAAAAAAAAAAAAAAAAAGTGCCAAAGCCCAAGATCTAGTCCCCAGCATTGAAGGGTGGAAGGCTCCTACCAAGGCTGAGTTCCAGGACATGGAACCCATCAGGAGGCCAACCATGTCTTCATGTCACATAGTTGGCAAGAGGTTCTGCAAATCTCGGGACTAGAGATAATTTTTACATTTGATCTTAGCCAAAAGGCGGAGAAGTGATAAAGAGATAGTTTTTAAAAATTGGCAAAGAAGGGGCCGGGGAGATGGCTCAGTGGAATAAGCGCTTCTCTGGTAAGTGCAAGGGCCTGAGTTCAATCCCCAATTCCACAGGGGGGAAAAAAAAATATGGCAAAGAATTTGAGTAGCTATTTGTCCAGATACACAAGTGGCTAACACACAAGACAATGCTCAAAAGCCAATCTTTAGCTATTAAGGAAATGTAAATAAAAGCCAGACACTGCTGCACACTTCTTGGGACAAAGACTCACAACACTGGAAACAGAAGGCATGATGAGGATGGGGAGGAACTGACCCCTGCCGCCCTGGGCATCAAATGCTGCAGTCATTTGGAAAGGCCTGCTGCTGAGCTATATCCCCAGCCCTGGCAGTTCCTACAAAAGTTAGCAATGGGGGGAGATCCAGGGAGCCCACTGCCAGGTCTACACCCACAGGAACGGAGACGCCCACACTAAAATCTGTGTCTGTGTTTGCAGCAGCACCACTTGTAACAGCTACATGGCAAAGCTGGCCCTGGACTTGACCTGGTGTGAAGGGCACAGACACCAAGGCTGTGTCCTGTGTGACGGACTCCAGGCCCACCTCAGCCAACCTCGTGCCCATATGAAGGACTGGGCTTCCAGTGCCAGAGGAACATTCCATCCTGTGCCAGTCTTCGCGATGACTGTGGGATTTGGGCAGTACTGGGGGTTGAGCCAGGCCCTGAACTCTATCTGCAGCCTTTGATTTTTTTTTTAAATTTAAATTTTGAGACAGGATCTTGTTGTCACTAAGCTGCCCAAGCTGGGTCCAAATCTGTGCGCTTCCTGCCTTAGCTTCCCAGAGTGCTGGGACTATGGGTATGTGCCACCACACTGGCAGACTATGGGTTAAACAAACCACACTGAAGTCGCAAGCTCTCACTATATCCACTTCAATGTCATTTCTCTGGCACTGGTGGGCACCCACTGGCTTACTGTGTCTGTGTCTCACCTGGAATTTTATAGCTCACCTCTTTTACCTGTGGGTTTTATTTATTTATTTATTTATTTATTTTTATTTATTACATTTATTTATTGTGTGTGTGTGTGGCCAGCTCAGCCCACCAGGGGGCGGGTCTGGCTGGCACGTGGTGCTGGGGATTGAACCGCGGTCCCTGTGCTTTGCCAAGCTTGTTTCAAGTAGGTGCTTTAGACCACTGAGCCATCTCTCCAGCCCTGTGGTTTTTTTTTTTTTCCCCTTGTGGTGCTGAGTGTCCTATACTGGAGGAAAGTGCCCTGCTCCTGAGCTGCTTCCCCAGCCCCTTTGTCTTCTGTCCCGTCCCTAGAAGCCATCCACATGGTGGCATCCATCCTGCTGCACTACCAGGAAGCCCCAACTGTTTATATCATTTAGTCAGGGAACGGAATAGGCTGTCAAATGGTCACCTGTAAGTGATGCAGCTGAGCCAAGCAACAGAAAACAGGTGCTGATGGGACGCGAGAACACCCGGCTACGTACCCTCAGCAGGGTCTCTGAAGCTCTCCTCCTCCAGGTTCACTATGGGCTGCAGGCTGGGCTGGGAGGGGGTTGGCAATGGACGATCCAGGCCACACATGGGGACTGAGGCATTGGAGCAGCTCGCGGTTCCCTCCTGGGGGGAGGTCACTGTCACTTCCCAACATCAAGGACCCCAGCGGGGGTCTTGGGGAGACGCAGCAACACACTCTGCCCAGGGTATTTTCTGCACAATGCAGACACAGACAGTGGTGTGGGGTACATCATACTTGCATACACACCTGCACCTGGCCCTCTGCGTTCAGTGTTTCGGCCACTGTCTGTACCTCAGGCCTGCCACTCTTGGGGCCTGCCCACAGCTGCCTGGAGAAAAAGAGAAGTAAAAGGCTGCATGCTGGGCCAGCAAGATAGTTCAGTAGACTAAGTGCCTGCTTAGGCAAGTGCAGGGACCAGGCCTAGATCCTTGGCATCACATGCCCTGCCAGCCCCACCCCAGGCACACTGAGCCAGCACCAGGACTGGATGTGGTGGCGTATGCCTGTAATCCCAGTGCTGAGGCTGAAAATGGGAGAATCACTACAAGTCCGAGCTGCATAGTGAGACCTTGTACTAAACACATAAAAAGAAAAAAAAAGGCTACACACCAACTCTCACGCCCTGCACCTCAACACTGAGCCGCCTGTCTCTCCCACATGGCAGCATAGGCCCTCAAGGCAGAGCTCATGCTGGAAGGTAAACAAGAACTGGCAGTCAGGGTGACCTAGGAAAGTGCTCTTAGGGTCTGGACTGGGATGTAGAGCCAGGGGGGTTCCAAAGTCGCTGCTCAGGTTTACACTGGCCCCGACACCCGACATGTTCTGCCCATTGTACTTACTGGCTTGGACTCGAGTCCTCTGTAGGTGGCACCAACTTGGCCCCAGGACTTTCAGGGGGCTGGGCTTCTCTGTGGGCCAATGAGGAGCTATCGCCAAAGGAGCTGAAGTTTGGGTCATCTGCTTTGTTCCAGTCAAGGTGGTAGGAGCTCTGGGAAGCTGGTGCATGGGCCTGGTTGGTCCCTCTGGCCCCATCTTCCTCTTTTGCTTTCTCGGGGGCCTGTGGCTGCCTCTCCTTGGGCCTCCTTCCTTGTCTCCGTGGTGCAGCTGCCCTTTTGCTGGTTGCCCCATCAGAGAAGTCAAACTCTAGCCTTATGGGCTCACATCTTGGATTAACAGCTATTTGGCTGGCAGTGTCCTCTGTCTGGGAGCCTGGGCTGGCCAAAGCTAGGTTCTGAGGGACAGTCAGCCCTGCAGGGGTTGTGCCTGTGTCTGCACTTTCAAGAGTAGCAGCCTGGGATGGGGCAGAGCTGGAGGGGCTCCCTCCTGGGGCTCTAGGAGCAGCACAAACTTGGTGTTGGAGTGCTGTCCCAAGAGGGTCCTTGAGGACTTCAACAGTAGGGGGTGTGGCTTTGGGTGAGGGGTGAGAACGAGCACTGTGCTGCAAGGTCTGGCCAGCACTGCTAGACTTTCGTTCTGGAGATGATATCCGGTTTTCAGGACTCTGTGGGCTCTGGGGAGAGCTTGGGACACTGGAGTCAGCCGGGTGTACCAGGCCAGGCTCGCTGCAGCTGTCATCTTCAGAGGCCGAGGTACTGTCTCCTGGACAAAGGCCAGAACTAGCCATAGCTGGCTTGTGGAGAATTCCACTGGGCAACTTGGTATTCACATCCTTGCTGAGCTGTTGGCTTTTTAGAAACAGACTTAGTTAACACTAAGGAACCCATAAGCTTTTCAGTGAAGATTTCAGTCCATTGCTGGGTATGGAGGCACATGGCTGTAATCCCAGCACTCAGGGGGCTGAGGCAGGAGGATCGTTCAAGACCAGCCTGAGCTACAAAGTGAGCTCAAGGTCAGCCTCAATTGCATAGGTAGACTCTGTCTTTTTTTTTTTTTTTTT